GACACACAGAGACACACAGAGACACACAGAGACACACAGAGACGCAGACAGACACACACAGACACACAGAGACACACAGACAGACACACAGAGACACACAGAGACACACAGAGACACACACACACAGACACGCACAGACACGCACAGACACACGCACAGACACACGCACAGACACACGCACAGACACGCGCACAGACACACGCACAGACACACGCACAGACACAACCACAGACACACGCACAGACACAGACGCACAGACGCACAGACGCACAGACGCACAGACACACAGACACACAGACACACAGACACACAGACACACAGACACACAGACACACACACAGACACACAGACACACACACACACACACACACACGCAAACACGCAAACACGCGCACACAGTCACACACTCACACAGTCACACACTCACACACACACACACGCCCACCCACCCACACACGCACGCGCACGCGCACACGCACGCACAGAGACGCAGACACGCACACCCACACACACACACACACCGCAGCTGTTTTTGCTTCTGACCAAATGCCTGCAAAGATTCCAAGGCCTGCAATCAGCCTGTCGGCCGTCAAAAAATGCCAGGCGAGGCGGCTACACGCTACATACTTCCAATAACAACATCCAACCAATCTGTGCATCTGTCCGCGAGACGCCCGGCTCAACACCACACCCAAGAAGCTGCGCCTGTTGAAAACTTGGGCTGCTTGCCCAGGTCCATGCCTCTCAGAGTCGGCGTCTGGCTCTGCACATACGTGGGTAGCACGTCCCCCTTTAAGAGCACACGCTTACACGCGCGCACGTACGCACAAACACTCGCACACACGCACGCACGCGCGCAGGCAGCCATTCACGCACACAGCCTGCACGTGGACAGACCTTTGCCCCCTTCGGCCCCACACATACACATATGCGCAGATATATGTATAATTTTATATGATATGTGTACGTCTCTGCCTCCACCACCCTCCTTGAGGTTGCACACAGGGGGCGCCAAGTCGATAGAGCGATTTTATCACTCGGCTCCAAACTGTGCGGATTATGGGAAAAAGCGCAGTGATAGGACATTGGACAATTGTGCCCCAGCCAATCTAAACTGCCGGCTGCGGCGCAATGTTTTCTGGTTATTCAGTCACATCTTGGATAAATCGATGCCAATATATGTGTACGATTTGAAGCTTGAAAAACATGGGCTACTCCTGGAAACATGGTGAGAAATTTCGCGACATCCGAAGCGAACAGGACATGCGACAGAAAACTCTTCCAAACGCAGATCTTGCGCAAGCAGAATCTTGGAATAGTAGGCCGTTGTAACGGCGGACGATCGGTTGATCAGGTGGATGTGTGTCCTCTCGGAGATGTTCGGGCTCTCGGACGTAGAACCAACGGGTGGTGCCAGTCCGCGCCGTTCTTCCCCAAAAAGCAATGTTTCCTTTGTTTCCTGGCCGAGTCTGGCGCGCCCGGGATTTGCGTCGCCTCTCAGGATGCCGACCATGAGTTTCAATCGCCGGTTCGCGAATCTTGGTGTGTTTAGCTGTGGCGCTGCGCTCATGGTGATAGACGCCCGCTGTAAGGAATGAAGTCTGGATCTGTGTACATAGGTTCTTTTGTGTTCTCCCTTGGTCTCGCGCGCGATGGTCGGAGCCGTCGTCTCGGCCTTGTTGTTGCGCTCAACGCGCCGGTTTTTTCCGCGGCTCGTCGCTCAACTCCTTCGCGCCCTCCTTGGGGTCACAATACCTCCGTGTCCGGCCCCCACGCAGGCGCCCTGCCCGCTTGGGCTCAGGAATTCATCTGAGTCTTGAGGACATGGGCTGGTTGCGTCGGGTCACGCCCAAGAGGATTGAAATTTTCAGAGCTCCTTGCCTCCGGTTGCTGTGGTATTTTGGACATCTCTCTAGATTTCCAAGGTTCAACGTTAGGACGTTGGTTCTCGACATGCCGCCACTGGTCCGGACCTGCTTCGTCTTCGTGGGCTGCAAGACATGTGGAGGATGTGGAGGATATTGTTTCTCTGCCTTTCTCTGAGATGAACCGTAGGTATCCACGCTCGTTGTAGAACTCTTCCCATTTAGGATGTCCTTCGTATCTATCTGAACATATCTGAACCGTCTTCCGACTTGTTGACAAGGAGCTTGATGGCTCGCAACTTGAAGATTGGACGTGCTTCTGGTGAAGTAAACACCGGGTACGGTTGCTTGTTGGCTTTGCATCCACATTCCGATAGTTTGTTTATGAACTCTCTAAGGGGTTTTGACAGTGACCAATGAATGTCAACTCTCCGAAAGACTCAGCTCGAAGGCCCCTCGTCTTGCCGCGCCAGGGTGCCATCGCAGACTTCTGGCGGGGTTCGCACTCTACTCGGATCTTCTCGTAGACGTGGTAGATCTCCTTAGGCAGGTGCAAAACTCGAGTTCTGAGTGTAAATCATTTTTTTGACGTGCGATGATGTTGCAGGTGAAGTTTACGTAGCTCTTCTGGTTTCGAGAGTCGTGTGTGTGTGTTGTATGGCAAGTGGGAATGTGACGAACCGCCCTTATCCACCGCCTGTCTGCCTTCCATCGGAAGACAGCTGTCGTTTGTTTTGATCTGGAACGCGTTTGTGCTTTGGTTGAAACTCTGTGTCTGGCTGCGTGGTCAGCTATCCAGTGGTCATTGTTGGTGCGTCCTACGGTTTCCGTTGCGCCTGCTGTCGGTACTAATGTGGGAACCGCAGGTTCCGTGGTTGTTGCTCTGCTGGATAGGCAGTGGTGAGCAGTGATGGATGTGCCAGTGGCTTGATCTTGTCGTCATCGATTGCCTTAGTTGCTGTCCTGAAGCCTGCAGAAGGCTGCAAGACCAAACATTGCATGACCGCTGCTGGACACCGGTGTCGGTTGTCGAAGCACACCGACAGCGCCTGATCTTGTCACATTGAGGAGTGCTCTCGGTGAAGGTTCTGCATCTGACCGGCGCTAAGCAAAATCGGAACTTGTCCTTGCTTAAGGATGCCTATGTCACCGTAGGTGGTGACGTGTTGAAGAAGAATGAGAGAGTCCAGTCAACCTTATACGTCCCATTGGCGATAGTGAACCTTGTGTTACATGGCACGTGTGCATACTTCTTCCGATGCGGATATGGTTTGGTTGCCTTGATGAGTCTCTCGGTCGCAAACCAACTACGCATGGGTTTTGCGACCATTGTCAAGAATGACATGGGTTGGGTTTTCGGCCTGCTTGGTGATGGGCGCCATGAGTTTACTGGCCAGGGCCTGATCTCGAGCCGGCGTCGCGTACGGAACCATGTGTAGGTCAATACATTTTGAACGACCGTCCTTCTGCAAGCGTCAATTTGTTCGGTTGAATCTGCTAGACCTGATCAGAGTAAGAAGGACTGCTGCTCCAATCTGGGACACCTGGCTCCAATCATCCTACTGTGCCACGGTTTTCCTTTTCTGGCCGCGCCCCGTGGTTGCCTACTGCCTCCAGGCCCTTGTGTTCAGAATGCTGCAGCTGTGGCTAAGCGGGTGCAGCTTACACTTTCGCGCGTGGCCAGGCAGGAACATCGTAATATACGTAGATAGACATGTTTGTTTCGTATCCGTGTAGATATACGCGCAGGCGCACGCGCCGTTGCAGTAGCACTTGAGGGCGTGCGCAGCCAATGTCCATGAACAATCGTGGACCTTTTTGCTTTGCCCTCCCAAACCTGCAAACTGACATCTGGCCTCTGATAGGCTCAAACCTGCCTGCCCGGCCCCGAACTTTGCAGCTGCCTACAGCAAGCTGCAGAAGGGCTGGCGAGCTGGCTCGCAGCAGGGGCTGCTCCGTGCCCCGGTTGAGAGCCTGACCCTGGGGCGCCGTAATCCAAAGAGTACACTTTCAGACAAACACAGAGAGAAAGAGAGAGAAGAGCGACACAGACAGACACAAAAAAAAACACACGCGCACACGCAAAACAAACACACAGGCGCGCCAAACTCTTGAGGTTCGACAACAGGAAACCAGTTTTTTGAGACCCGGCCTTGAAGATCAGATGGAAGCTTGAGGATCCGCAAGCCGTCTCGACGATGCTGAAAAGATCCTTCACCGAGAGCCCCGACGGGTAAAACACAATGGACGTTGATAGGCGAGCTGCGGTCAAAGCCAGCTAGCCCACAAGGCCAGCGGGTGTTCCCAATGGTTTTGTTTATTTCGCAACCAACCTCTCTCTATTTGTTCATGCCTGGTTCTGCCTCGCATCGTCACGCGAGCTGCCAGTGAGCTGCGGCGGGTCGATTGAATTCCGTCTGTCAAGGTGAGGTCTGTCATAGCTGTCGCGGTCAGAGATTGTCACAGCTGTCCGAGCTATCACAGCTATCAACGTGCACGGACGTCGCTTGAAACCTAACAACCCCAAACCTGTCAAGTGGAGAAAGCCCGACCCGTTGCTGAAGCGCTTGCCTCAGTGCAAACATAGCGGAGGGCCGGGAAGTGGATCACTGCCTTGCCGCTCAAAGTCACCACGGTTATCTCGATGGTGTCCTGTGAGTCCAGCAACTCAGAAAACCATGTCGGCTTGTCGATGGGAACAAGTCGGAGGCATCGTTAGCACAGATAGAGACAGGGATGGACGGACAGGCAGGCGACAGACAGGCAGGAAAGAAAGAAACAAAGAAACAAAGAACAAATGCTAAGGAAGAAATGGATATGCAGGACGGCAGGAGAGAACATAAAACAAGGACGCAAACAAAGCCTGACAGCGACCGCGAAAAAGAATGCAAACATGGGCAAAGCAATCTAACATTCCCGAAAACACACCCCAAAAGACACACCCGACAGCACGTATCCTCAAAAACATCCGCCCCGCGGCATGACCCCAAGCACACTCCCCAAGACACGCCAAGACAGGACCAACTACATCCTCCATAAACTTATCCAAGCCCAACCAAGCCCGCGCAACATCGTCAACATCCAGCCAAGACCCCAAAAATGCGCCCCTTCACATTCGCAAGCAAGAAATGTTCAAAGCTCCGAGACACGCGTCAGAAGACAACCCGCGAAGACAAAAACCTCAAAAGACACCCTCACACACATCCACAATCGAAACTCTAACCCCCAAACGCGCACTGGCAGATATATTGAGCGGCGCGTCAAATTTCCCGCAGTTGCGCGCGAGGGGGCTTGCAGACGCCTTGCGGACACGTTGCGACGTTTGCGGAAACAAGCGCACGTGAACACATAGAAGTTGGCCACCTCCTGACCCGCAGGCCTCCAGACCCACAACCTTCAATTCTGCCTACGCGTTCGGAAAAAGGAATGCGCGAGATAGCAACACAGAGGGAAAAGGAAAACGAAGAGAAAAGAGAAAGAGAAATAGGACAGAGAAAAGAAAAAGCCGGGAAAGAGGAAGAGAGAAGGAAAGAGACATCGGAAGCTAAGCGCCAGGAGACGGAGAAACACACGAAAAAAACGAAGACGCGCCAACACAGCGAAAAAGAAAGAACAGGGAAAGACAAAAGCAAAGAAGAAAAAGAAAAACAGAAAAACCGCCCCTGCCGGTTTGTCAATTAATGGCCTTTGCGTCTCTTGCCCTCAAGCTCACACACATGAGTGGGTTACTCAGCGCTAACCCGCGCCTCAGAACCAATCTCCATTGAGCGCAACAGACTTGGGTAGAACGGGCGCGACTGGAGCCAAGGATCCAAAGCGGTCGGATCTGTCAAGCACCCTGCCCTTCCAAAATTGTGCTCTGGAAAGGCTCCGCAAGAGATGGGGCAATGCGTTTTTCTCTGGACTAAGCCCCTGTGCATGCAAGCAGCCGCGGCCGAGCAATGATTGACAGAACCGAGCGTTTCTCTAAAATTATGATTCGTGTGCATCCTTGTTAGAACGCCCTGAGTGTGCCAAATCGGCTGCGGAACCTCGTTGGAGAGACTCTGCAAGGAACCTAGTGTTGATGACTGAAACAGCCGCAAAGCAGCCTGAAACCAAACAGCCACCTGCAATGCTTGCGTGGCCCGGAACGGTTCTGCCCTCAATACTTTCGTTCATCTCACGTCACAAGTTATCCGCAGGTTCGCCACTGCCGCGCAAGCAGCTTGAAAACAAACAAGGCAACGCCAGCGCGCCAAACCCAGCAAGCGTGCAACGACAGCACTGTTCACAGTAACACTGCAATAACACCTCTGGCTGGGCAGCCCTGGCTCTCAACATGTTTGGGAGCGCGGCCAAGGGTAAAAAATGAAGAGGGCATTGTCGGGCGCCTTGACCAGGCGCTGAACGATTTCGGGCCAGCCTCCATGCACCAGCCGCATGTTTGGCAATGCTTCACCTTGTGGCTGAGCTGGCCATGTTGTGAGATTTGCGGAGTACTTTGAGCGATAAGAGCTGCCAAGCACTCTTGCAAGTGACACAACTTAGCATAGTTTGCAGCTGATCTGATGGGTTTTGTCTGGCCTTACACTCGTGGCACGACAGGCTTTTTCGCCAAAAGAACACACCTTCTCAAGAGGGGCCCAACCTTCGTCAGTTTTTTACATCACTCTGCTAAGCGATTCGGGATTGAAATGCGCCAGACCCGGCCCTTTCCCGCATAGTAGGGTTGGGATCTGCTCTGACTGCTCGGCGCCAAACAACAGCCACTGAGGTCCTCGTCGCACGATTTCCAGTCTGACTTGCTGCGCGACACAGGGGTGTGGAGGGCTGCGGGGCATTTTGTGAGTGTTGTCAGTTTGAGCAGCGGCGCGTTCAAGCAAGCCCGCAATCGACAATTCAGGAGAAAAGACAAGCCACTGTACAGGACAGTTGGATGAAGAGCCCCGACGTCTGCGCAGGTCCAGTGGACGATGCGCAGTGCGAGCAAAGGGTTAACAGGCAAACCGGGAGCGAACAAAATACTGCAGGCCGAATTGCTCGGGTGTGAAAGACATCGGTGTCACAGTCGTCGCATCTTCTCGACCTGGGGTGAATCCGCGCCCGTCTCGCTCTCTCTCTCTCTCTCTCTTTGTCTCTCTCTGTCTCTCTCTATCTCTTCCCTCTCTCTCTCTCTCTCTCTCTCTCTCTCTCTCTTGCTCTCTCTGCCTGCTGTCTCTCTCTCCTGGCTGCCCTGCTCGCCGTCCGGGTAGCTATCTGGCATCCCAGGCAGGGCCTCTGGCAAGCCAGGGACTGACTCGCGAATGGGCAGGGCTAGCCACGTACTTAGTATGGGCATTGCTCGTAATGAAACCACAAGTTCGCAAATGTCGTGATATCAGCAACATGGGACAACCTGGTGCAGCACACCAGGCAAAATATGGACTGGTGAAACCAACAAACCATATTCTCACCGACAATTGCACGACTCTTTCAAAATCTCGAGCAGGATTTGGGGACACAATGACCTACACTTTAAGATTCCCAAAAAGATGCTTGAGTGAGCTGAATTCTCACTGCAAGCATTTTGCTTGGGCCCGGTCATGTCAAAACCCAGTCGCAAAAAAACACAGCAACTGCCGGAGATCAGCGGTAGCGCAGCAAACGTGAAAACGTGCCACGACAAACAAACAAAATCGCAAACTGGTGCCAGCGCCCTCATCCAGCGCTGCAATTTCCGGCGGCGGCTTCCAACTTGTAGATTCCATGCGTGCGCCGGTAAGTGGCAGTGGCACTCGCAACAATCTTCAAATGATAGGAAAGGCAGCTTGGAAAACGACCACCAACGTTGTGGCACCATGCCACCCAGCACCGCTGCTAGAGCTTTAAACGTGGCAGCCACAGAACCTGCCCAGCAAGTGAGGCATAGCGACGCCAACATGATCAAGGCCCAGCCAAACGCCGCAGCGTGCAAGAACCTGAGCACAACGGTTGACCGCAAAGAAGTCACCCATGAGAAGGTCAAATAGCAAAGACTTGCGTGAGCCAACATTTGCCTGCCACAAGAAAGTGATGAGCAGGCAAGTGGCATCGGCCCAACGCGCAATTTCCAACTTACGTTACCAACTTGCAGCATCTGAGCCGATCTGAACCACATTACATTTTGACACTCCTTTCTGAGACCGACACACCAAGTATCGCACGACAGGCTCTGAGCCGCAATCACACAGCGTGTCATGTCGTAACAATATTGCAAGCTGTTCGTAGCGGAAAAACATCCTAACTTTCAAGGTCTCCAAAACAAGGGTCCAAGCAAACAAAGCAAAAGACCAATCCGCAGAGCCAGAACAAAACGTGACCGATCATTCTGCGACGAGTGTGGGTGTTGCTGATGCAACGAAAACACAACGCGCGTATTGATTGCCCAGAGACACTCAGGCTTGACAATAATCGCAGTAACGTACAGTGTTGCTTGTCAACATTTCGCGCTTTGTTTTACCACAAAGACGTGGCACCAAGTCTTGCAAACATCGCAAGCAACAAGATCTTTTGGTAAACTACCGGGCGCGCCTCCGCGTAGCGGGTGTCTGCGAACAGCACGTAGCCTCAAGCGAAAAGAAAATTATGACCCAGGCCAGAACAGAATGTGAGCCGCCTTGGGGCAGAGACAATCAAAGCCGCGACTTTCACACTACATACCATGCCACACAATAAGGGGCCGGGTTGGTGCCGGTTTAAGGCTTCCTGGAAAACAACAGAAAACTCTGCCGACCCCTTCGGTCCCTGCCAGAGATGCTGTCGCTGCTGGAAACGCTGGGGGGGGTTATCATCATCGCTGCTAGGCATGCTCAGGATGGCTCAGGATCCTCGTCATGACTCGTTTTCTCAAGTCTTTTCTATATCTTTGCTATATACATTTCAAGTGTCCCGTTAGACCCGACTTGGCAGGCAAGCGATGCGTAGTCATGCTTATCATCATCGCTGCTGGAGATGCCGGCGACGCGTAGCGATGGTTATCATCATCGCTGCTGGGGATGCTAGAGATGCGTAGTCATGCTTATCATCCACACTCATGATCGTCGTCATGTTTCGTCTTCTCAAGTCTTTTCTATCTTGTCTAAATTCATGTCAAGTGTCCCTTTAGACCCGGCTGAACATGCAAGCGATGCGTAGCGATGGTTATCATCATCGCTGCTAGGGGTGCTAGAGACGCGTAGTGATGCTTATCATCCACCCTCATGATCGTCGTCACGATTCGTCTTCAAGTCGTTTCTATATACTTCTCAAGTGTCCCGTTAGACCCGGCTTGACATGCAAGCAATGCGTAGTGAAGGTTATCATCATCCCTGCCAGGGGTGCTAGAGATGCGTAGTGATGCTTATCATCCACGTTCATGATCGTCGTCATCTCAAGTCTTCTCTATATACTGTTCAAGCGTCCGGCTTGACATGCAAGCGATGGGTGATCGCTACTGGAGATGATGGGGGGGGTTATCATCATCGCTGCTAGGGATGCTCAGGATGCGTAGTGATGCTTATCATCCATGCTCAGGATCCTTGTCATGACTCGTTTTCTCAAGTCTTTTCTGTATCATTGCTATTCAGATTTCAAGTGTCCTGTTAGACCCGGCTTGGCACGCAAGCGATGCGTTGTCACGCCTATCATCATCGCTGCTGGAGACGCCGGGGATGCGTAGTGATGGTTATCATCATCGCTGCTAGGGATGCTAGAGATGCGTAGTGATGCTTATCATCCACCCTCACGATCATCGTCATGATTCGTCTTCTCAAGTCTTTTCTATCTTTTCTCTATGCATGTCAAGACAACGATGATAGCGAAGATAGGTGACGATGATGACGATGATACTAAGAATGATGATCAGCGTCCTGCAATATTCATGGAGAGGAAATTTTGACTGTAAGGGTAGCTATCACCAAGCGTCCTCCAAAATTCACAGGGAGGACATTTCAAATGCAAGGATAACTGTCATGAAGCGTAGCATCATGGGGGGGACATTTCGAGTCATGACGACTATCATCGTTCTACCAAGACTGTCGAATAGGAAATGGTGATTATTGTGATGATAATGATGATAAGCATGAAGACCAAAGAAAGAAAGGGATGATGAGGACCGTCATGATGATGACTATGATGAACCGTGATGATTTAAGCGGAAGGAAACCGTCCTTGCAGAACCTTGCAGAAGTCTGGCGTTTGGTTGCGGCGACGCGGGGGGGGCCCCGCAACTCTGTTGCGAAGCCTTGATGGCAGGCCGCACAGTTGACGGCTTGTGTGTTCCGACAATGATGATAGCGAAGATAGGTGACGATGATGACGATGATACTAAGAAGGATGCTTACCGTCCTGCAGCATTCATGGAGAGGAGATTTCGACTGTAAGGATAACTATCATCAAGCGTCCTCCAGCATTCACAGGGAGGACATTTCGAGTGCAAGGATAACTATCATGAAGCGTCCTCCAGCATTCATGGGGAGGACATTTCGAGCCATGGCGACTATCATTGTTCTACCAAGACTGTCGAATAAGAAATGATGACTACTGTGATGATAATGATGATAAGCATGAAGACCAAAGAAAGAAAGGGATAATGAGGACCGTCGTGATAATGACTATGATGAACCATGATTATTTGCTACGCGAAGCGGAAGGAAACCGTCCTTGCAGAAGTTTCGGGGATGCGTAGTGGTGGTTATCATCATAGCTGCTAGGGATGCTGGGGATGCGTAGTGATGCTTATCATCCATCCTCATGATCCTCCTGATGATTCGGCTGAGTCGCCTTCTCAAGTCTCTTATATATACATTTCAGTGTCCCGTTAGACCCGGCTTGACATGCAAGCGACGCGTCCTCATGATTGTCATCATGAGGTTGCAATCATCATCATCGTCGCCACAGCGCAGTCAGTGCAGAAGCGGGTCGGCAACGGTCCCAACAAAATACAGCAGCTCTCAGAGATGTGTGCGCTTCCCCGAGTTGCGCGAGCGCAGCGCAGGCCGCAGCGCTGCCTTCAATGATTTTGACTGACTGGCTCTTTTTGCCGCCTGTCGGCGGCTTGCTACTCTTGCCAGCGGGCTGCACTTCAAGGGGCCTTCGTGGCCAGGCTTTCGGGGGTTCGCGCTCCTGTTCTTGCAGCCGTCTGTCACGGATTTCGGTTTCTTTGCTGCAGTTGCTGCCGCTGCCAGCTGGGGTCCCTCGCATTTCTCCAACTAGACGCCAAACCTCTGCTAAAATTCTCTGCTTTCGTTTCGCCGTGTTCTCGCCAGTCGCTCTTGACTTCTGCGGGCAGTTCGTTTCAAGTCGCGCTCCGCTAAGCATACGTCGCACGTGTGATCGCCGTGCGGGCCGCCGCGTCGCCGTCGCGAGTGTCGCCCAAAATACCGCCTTAGTCGCGACGTGGCGCAGCTTGCGCGTGTCCAACAGCCGCGTTCTTTACGACTGCAGGTCTTGCACGTCTGTCGGCATAGGTCGCGTCTGCGCCAAGCCGCCGCGCTGAAGTCTGCTTCTTCCTTTAGTTGCCTGCGCGTGTAGCATCGCTTCGTTTCCTTGCAGTTCAGACATACGCGTAACAGCGCTGCTCCATTGCTTCGCCATTTTCTCGGAAAGCGGCGGTGGGCTGCCAGCACTTGCGCATACAACACTGCCACGGATGACCACTCTGCTCATGCCTGCCTACGCATTCCTTGCAAACACGGCTTGCGTCATCGCGTTTCCACTGACCAGCCGTGTAACCACGTGGCTCCTTCTGTTCCCGGCGCTCGCTGCACGGCTTCTCGATGACGTGTCCTCGTCGGATCTTCTCCCAGTCTATCTCTTCTCCTCGCCGCACTCGGAGCAGCAGGTTTCGCCCCACGTCTTCCCCGCGCTGGAAAGGTTCAAGGCAAAGGGGCGAAATCTCAGCAGGCGCTCTCGACCTTCCACGCGCGTCTCGGCTACGTAACAAGTCAAAGGGTCATTTCCTGGTCGAATCGCGATGTCTGCCACAGTGCCTTCTTGTATGGTCAGGCCCTGCGCTGCGTGAGCAGTGATCGCGAAATACGGAGACAGCCCCCGGTAAATGCTTTGACAACAAACAAGACTTCTAGACAAATCGTGGTTGTAAGCACATGTGGGCTGTGGAGACACACCTGCCAATCCTTTCTGGACAACCAGCCCCAGTGGCTCGTTAACTCCGTGATATTGCGCGACGACTGGCTTCACTTGAGCGCTCCGCATGTTATCCATAGGTGCAACGAAGGTACACCTTGCCAAGCGTCCACTCCCTCGGGGGTCGACACAGGGCGGCAGCCTTTAAATCCGGCTACGCCTCCAGGGTCGCCGCTAGGCAATTAGCCTGCTAGCAATAGCTACAGGGGCTGCACCCTGGCGCCGCCGACCCTCGCCACTTGGTTGTGACGCGCTGCCTAGATCCGGCACCTCTGCATCACTTTCGGCCGTGTGGCTGACATCATCAGGGTCTGGGGTTGGGCCTGGGTAATGCTTCAGCCGGGCTTGGTCTGCATCATCAAGACTTCCTTCAAACAACTGCTCAACCCACGAAGCACTGTTTTTTGGAAGGTATCGGAGGGATACAAGCGAGGCTCATTTTCGCGCATTTTGGCGCCAAGCGCTGCCGGGCATGGCGGCGATGCTGGGTCCTCGCTCTACAAAACGCTGTAAATACCGTCGAAAACTGCTGTGCTGAGATCTGTCCGTTTTGCTTTTGCTGTGGCTGGCTCGCGCGCTGCGCGGTCCTTGCTTTTTCCCGCTGGTTTTCGGGCCTTCTGGTGCGCGCGCGCGAAACGGTGCTATTTTTACGGCGTTTTGTTGCATTTGCGTCGCAGCTCTTTTTGGGCTGCTCTTTCTGGGGCCTCTGGCGCGCGCGCGCTACCCCATGTCAGCCTTCTGCCCGGCTGAGGCCCAGAAAGCTGACATCCCCGGCATCATCTGGGGTTGGGGTGGGCGACATGCATAACCCAACCAGCCATATCATAGCACAGGATACGTTTCTCATACAAAAACATGACATGACATGTTATAACTTTAAAGCGGCGTAGCCGGCTAGAGGCCGCAGGCCCAGAAAATAAGAGTGTTGAGAGCACATTCCGGTCAGGGGGGTTCGGCCGAACTTTCGAAGCTGCGCTGTGAGCCCTTCGGAAATTCTCCCCGCTTGCTGCCAAGAAGCCATACAGGGTCAAATCTATGAGGAAGACGGCCCAGAAGGTTGACACCTGCCACGTCCGCATGTCGCAGGACAAGCAAGTCAACTGGGGTGTCAATGACCAGCAGACAGGCTGAAGCCTTACCAAACTTACACGACTGGAAGGGACCCTCACGCAACGCACTCCCGCAACGCTGAGCTTTGCAATGGCATCTGCCGCTCCGGCTTATTAAAGACCCAGGTGTTGCCAGTGTTGCAGCACGTACGGCTTGGCCCGCGAAAAAGAGAGCGGGAGGCTTCTTGTGGTTCTGGTTGAGCTGCAAACTCGGCGGTATGTCGCCTGCTGACTATGGGCGTGGCCACGGAACTCTAGCGTCTCCAATCTGGTAGAAGGTCGTTCAGCGCCGCACCATGCTCTCTCGTCTGGCTGCGTGGACGCAAAGAAGGCCCTCGGCATGTTTTGGCCTTGAGTAAATCCACAAATCGCCTCGGAGGGCAATTCAGTCAAGGCCCTGCATGTAGGCCTGGATAGCGTTGGTGTAGCCAGCCCGGTTTACCTGAAGCTGTTGCTCCTCGCCAAATTGTCGCTGACAGCCAGAGAAAGCCAATGTCCCTCAAACCTCCCATAAGGGAGGAGAGAGAATTAAGCAACACGAAACACAAAGACACGGGGCGGAATGATGCAGGTTTCCCACGCAATATCAGCTAGTACATGGCACTGCGTGTGCCAGACAAACGTGGGGCAGTACCAAATAAAGTTGTTGAGCCAAGCCTCGGAGGTTTGGACATGTTCCTCAAACCACTATTACACTTCAAGCTCAAGAACGCGAGATCTGAATTACATGGCTGCCAACTGAAGCCATCGAGTGATGCAAGAACACAGCCCAAGTTGCCGGGGGGCTGTCTGAACTTTGTTGACGCAGACATCTAAAAACGCCGGGCATGCTGTTCGACTACGTTTCATACACAAACATGCCATGTCCACTTCGGTCGTTAAGTGTGGCCCGTACAGGACGCCAACAACCAACACAACGCGAACAAACAAACGAAGGAACAAACAAACAAAGAAACAAACAACCAAACAAACAAAGAAACAAAGAGAAAGACAGGCGGCAGCCAGACAGGCAAGCAGACAGGCGGACGGACACACAGACAGCAGGCAGACAGACAGGCAGGCAAACAAACAAACAACAAAACAGACAGAAAAGCAGGCAAGCAAAGAAGCAGCCAGGCAGAGCCAGGCAGATTGACAGCCAGACGGACACAGATGGGCAAACGGACAGAAAAAGGCACAAACGCAGACACAGAGATTGACACAGCCACATACAGAGACAGAGACACGTACAGAGACAGAGACGGTGAAGCACAAACAGACAAAACAACAACAGGCCGAACACGAACCACGCAACCAACCAACTGACCAAACAAGACAGCAAGCAAGCAAGCAAGCCGAGGAAGCAAGCAAGCAAGCAAGCAGGCAAGCGAGCAAGCAAGCAAGCAAGCAAGCAAGCAAGCAGACACCAAAGGAAAAAGAGAAACGAGCAAGTACAACAAGCAAGACCACAACAAATACAAGACAGAACTAACTACAAAACAAACCCAAAGTCATAAGAGCATGAAACACAACTCGCAAACACACTGACACACAAACACATATACGGAGATTCTTGGCTGTTCACCCACAGATACCCTATCTCGCCCTCATGTCTACTTAGTTCAGGAGGTGGCTACCTCACACCCTGTCAAGAACAACGCGGCTAGCTTAGGTCCGGATTGGCGCGCACAAGAAACAAACAAGCTCCGGCCCTCAACCAAGTGGGCCATGCGCCAACGCAAGTTGTCCTGTTTTCGGCGCCGTTCATGTTGATACAGCCCCAGCAGTAACTGACGGAACGCAAAAAGATATCGAGGGCCACAATGAGTGTACGATTCCTCCCGCGCGGCAGGAATAGCAACGCCCTGAGTCTAGAAAACAACCGTGGTAGCGTACGTGCGTGCGTGTGTGTGTGTGTGTGCGCGCGCCTGTGTTTGCATGCCTCATATGTGCTGCGCAGGCGTGCGCGCACGATTGAATGTGCGAAGACCCACGCGCGTGTTCTTTGTGACTTTGTGGCTTTCTCTTTGTGGCCTGGCACGTGTGTGTCTGGGTGGCTGCGGCTTTGTGTGTGTGTGACTGTGAGCTGAATAGCCGTGCGTTCGTGGTTTCTGTGTGTCTGTGCGTACTGTGCGTGCGGTGTGCGTGTGTTCCTGCGCGCGAACGCGCCTGCGTGTGTGTGCGTGTGCGTTTGCGTTTGCGCGTGTCTGTTTGTGTGCTTTGGTGGGTGTGGGTGTGTGTGTGTAAATGCGCGCGCGTGTGTTCCTGCGCGTTTGCGTGTGTACCTGTGTTTGAGTGTGTGTGTGTGTGTCTCTGCGTGCTTGCGTTTTGCCTGTGTCTACGTGTATTTGCGTTTTCGTGCGCGTGTGCACGTGTGTAGGTGTGTGCGCGCGTCCGCGTGTCTGCGCGTGTGTGTGTGTGTGTGTGCGTGTGTGTTCTGTGCGCTTCTGCGTGTGTGGCTGCGCATGGCTGTGTGTGTGTGTGTGTGTGTTTGTGTCCCTGTGTGTCTGCGCGGGTTTGCGCGTGTGTGTGTGTGTGCGATTGCGCGTGCGTGTGTGTGGGGGGTGTATGTTTGTGTGTTTGTGTCTGTTGTTGATTCTACGCTTGTGTTTGCATTTGTGCCTGTGTGTGTTTGTGTGTGTGATGCCTGGGTTTGCGCGAACGCGCGGGCGTGTGTGTGTGTGTCGGTGCGTGGGCGCGTGTGTGGGTGTGCGCGTGTTTGTGAGAGTCTGGTTGTGTCCGTTGGAGCACTGGTGGGTGTCTGTGTGTAGGTGTAGAGGTGTCAGTACGAGACAAAGAGAGAGTCTGTGTTGGTCTTGTTGTGGTTTTGCCGTTGCTGTTGTTGTTGCTGCTGCTGCTAGTGTTGTTGTTGCTGCCGCTTTTCTGCCGATGTTGTTGTTGCTGCTGCCGCTTCCGTCGCTGCTGTTCCTCCTGCCGCAGCAGGCAGCGGCGGCGAAGGCTGCTGTTGGTGTTGGTGCTGTTGCTGCCGCTGCTGTGGCACGTTGGCGTAGTTCTCATTGTCGTTGCTGCGCGTTGTTCGTTGTCGGTGCGGCTGCGGCTCATACGGTTGCTCCTGTTGATCCTGTTGCGTGGCTGCCGTCGTTCTCTTGATCCTGCTGCTGTTGTTGCTGTTGTTGTTCTCGATGCTATAGCTCTTGCCCCTTTTTTCTTGCTCTCGCTCTTGCTGTTATTGCCGTTGGTGGTAGTGGTGTGTGTTGAAGCTTATGTTGTTGCTCCTGGCGCTGTTGCCGTTCCTGCTGCTTTTGCTGCTGTTGCTGCTTGCGCTGCTGATGCCGTGTGTTGCGCGCGCCGAACACATGGGTGGCCGTGGTGTTTCGCAAGCCGTGTTGCGTCAAGCGCAGGCGATAGCGTGCATTCTCTTCGCCCGCTTTTCTGGCCATGGGCGGGGTCCGCAAGACATGAAGTGGTGAAGACTTACATCTCTGAACGGAATGAGCATTTCGCCTAGATCCAAGCTTGCCTCAGGGAGTGGCAACTACACCCGAAGAAGCCACAAGAATTTGCCTCACGCTTCAGTGAAGGAAATCACGAGCAGGCTCCAGCGAATCAAAAGAGGAAAGTTGAGTCTTCTCCTTGACAGTAGCGAGTCTTGGCGCAGCAGCAGAAGCAGCTTGCTTGGCATAGGTGAAACCAACGCGCGTCGCGCGCATCAAGATCGAGAGCTTCTGCGCCTGTAGAAGCGCAAGGCGGAACCACGTCAACCAAGACGGCGCTCGCTCGAAAGATGTCTTCTGCGGGGGGCAAAATGCCCGCTCCTGCGGGCGGAGCCTTAACTCTTGGGCGAGAGTCTTGGCTTTCTCCCGGCTAGCCCCGCACAACTCTTTGCGAAGCGAAGACCAGAGATGCGCCAGATGGTTGCCAAAGGCTTGATTGAGTATGCGTGTCAAGTTGCACAAACCAAATACAAAGCTGACGGCGCCAGAGTAAATGGAGAAAGCGCAGGACGCCGATGGGGCGGGCATCGAGCTCGGGCCTTCATGTTCCTTTTCATGGCCTCCCTGCATATCTTTGGCCTTTCATCAAGCGTGACGTTCCCACACCCCACCCCTTAGAAACTTTAGGGCAGGCCCAAATGGAGGAACACAGTTGCGTTTGTTGTTGTCGTTGTTGCTGGTGCTGTTGCTGTTTGTTGTTTGTTGCTCGTTGTTGATTTTGATTGCCGTTGATTGTTGTCGCTGTCGGTGTTTGTGCTGTTGTCGCTGTTGTCTCTTTTGTTGCTGTTGCTGGCTGTTGTTGGTTGTTGGTTGTTGCTGGTTGCGTCGCAGTTGCAAGTAGTTAATGTTGACCTATGATTAATAAATAGGCCCCCCCCCCCTGAATGACCATAAATAAAGATTGGGGGAGAATTTTCAGGGTCGGGCCTTGTTTAAAGGAGTTTAGTATTGGGCTCAGTTTTTTGGTTTTCGAATACTACTTTAGAATTGGGCCAATTCAAAAGTAGTATTGGGCATGTTGTTTTTTCTTATTTTGCTTTGGGGGAATACTAGTTTAGAATTTGGCCAATTCTAAAGTAGTATTGAGCCAAGAACTTTTGCATGCATTTGCATGGGCAGGCATGTATTCCAGCAGGGATTGAACAGGACATTCATGAGGGGCTGGCATGCATTTCAGGAGGGATTGGGAAGGACATTCATGAGGGTTTGCATGCGCTGGCATGCCTTCTAGGAGGGATTGAGAAGGAAATTCATGAGGGTTTGCATGGGCTGGCATGTATTCCAGCAGGGATTGAAAAGGACATTCATGAGGGTGCAGGCATGTATTCCAAGAGGGATTGAGAAGGACATTCATGAGGGTTTGCATGGGCTGGCATGCCTTCTAGGAGGGATTGAGAAGGACATTCATGAGGGTTTGCATGGGCAGGCATGTATTCCAAGAGGGATTGAGAAGGACATGCATAAGGGTTTGCATGGGCATGTGTTCCAAGAGGGATTGGGAAGGAAATTCATGAGGGTTTGCATGGGCAGGCATGTATTCCAAGAGGGATTGAGAAGGAAATTCATGAGGGTTTGCATGGGCTGGCATGCCTTCTAGAAAAAAATTGAGAAGGACATTCATGAGGGTTTGCATGGGCAGGCATGTATTCCAGCAGGGATTGAAAAGGACATTCATGAGGGTTTGCATGGGCAGGCATGTATTCCAAGAGGGATTGAGAAGGACATGCATGAGGGTTTGCATGGGCTGGCATGTATTCCAAGAGTGATTGAGAAGGAAATTCATGAGGGTTTGCATGGGCATGTGTTCCAAGAGGGATTGGGAAGGAAATTCATGAGGGTTTGCATGGGCAGGCATGTATTCCAAGAGGGATTGAGAAGGAAATTCATGAGGGTTTGCATGGGCTGGCA